AACAATCTATGGTATAGATCTATGGTATAGAGGAAATATAATTCGGAAATATTTTATTCAACTATTTGTGTCTAAAATTAAAGATTAACTTGATTAAATACGAAGTATAATCTTACAAAAACATTCTTTTGTCGACACTTCTAGTATGTACTACGTAGTATATTTTACAAGTGACTAAATAACAAATACTCCGTACACTATATTAAAATGATAACGATCGTAGAAGATAAAAAAGTTGGGCCTCAAAGCTCACTTAATTATAAACGCATCCAGTGCCAGATTTGATTACGTGCTCGTTATCGAGCACGTTACGTGCATTTTAAAATTTTCGCTTAAATTTGAGTCGGGAACCCATCCGGTATTTAGGGTTGACCATTTCGAGTATGATGAATTGTCCGAATAATGTTAGTAAACTTACTAATACTCCCTTCCTCCCAATTTACTTAACCAAACTTGATTTTTCAAGTCAATGGTACCTAACTTTGACTGATTAGATATCTATATAGAGAAAATATTAATAATATAAAAATTATATGAAAATGTTCTTTATTGAAAATACTATTATAAAAGTATAAAATTATTAATTTTTTCATAAATATATTAGTTAAAATAATTGGTCAAAGTTTACCACCTTTGACCGGAAAAGTGAATTGAAGATTGGCTAACTAAATTGGGACGGAGGTAGTATTAAACAAACAATGATGTATAGGCCAATTTGAGAATGTTTACAATCCTATTAGTAAACACATGATTAGTGTTTGAAATAACCATATTTACAAGTCGACTCGGGGTAATTTTACATCCTATTTCTTGTATGATCTCATTTCGAATTAGTGTGCAAATATTTTTTCATTTTGAGTAATTTGAATATGAGATTTAGTGACTTTCAATTTACTTAATCTGAAAAAACATAATTTTATGATTGAGTCGAAATTTTTGATAACACGGTGATAAATCAAAAATTCGTTTCGACAATTGAGTCGTGAAGTGTATTAATTTGACTGTCCAAAATTCATATCAATTTTTCGATAAAAGATTGACTCATGTCGTATAAAATTCAAGTCTAAATAAATCCGGATACAAGTCACATGAATTGTCGTTGAACTATTATAAGTGTATAAGTCTTATATATATGTTTATATATTAGCAGGGGCGGCCATGTATGTTCGAAGGCCTAGGGGCGAAAAACTAAAATGGACCTAATGTTACAAAAAAATTGTATAACTCTTTTCTATCTTAAATGACATGCATAATAATTATAATTTTGAGACATTTAGAATTTGATTGTGTTCTCATTTTGAGAAGGACATTCAGAATTTGACTTCTTTACATAAACAAACTTTTCCATTGAGTTTTTTTTCTTATCGCCTCTTTCTCTAATATTCTATTATTTTGTATTTATGGTATTCAGATTCAATCCTTTTTATTACACTTTGAAATTAATTAAGTATATATATTTTATCATAATTGAAAATGTTTGTCTAACAAAATCAACAAGTTATAACACCAACACTCAATAGAAAACAATCAACAATTAAGAAATTAAACAACCATGAATGGAATCAATTAATAAACTAATCAAATAATCATATCTACTAATATGCTTTGGAGGTGAATTTCTTTATGAAATTTCAAGAGAATGTTTTTCATCACATGTAGATTATGTCCATAAAATTTCAGTTTAAAATGCAATCGTGAAGTCAGTTAAATAAATTATTGAAACACAATGCGCCAAAATATGTATAAAAAGCAGTGTTTTCAATAATTTATGTAGGTGACTTCTAAATTAAACTTTAAATTGATTTTTTCTCACATACTCTAAATTTCACAGAAAACATGATCATAAGTTTCGCTAAAAAATCCATTCAGAAGAACTTCAACAAATTCCACTCGAAAAATTGTTACTCTAGGGCCGAAAAATCAGCCTACTCACATCTGTTACAAAGAACTAAACTTGGGCCTATTTTTTACCCATATTTTTTGGGCCTAGGGCGACTGCCCCACTTGCACCCCCCTAGGGCCGCCCCTGTATATTAGTATGATGACTTAATACAGGATATATTGCTAAATACGAATAATATCGTATCTATTGTTTTATATAGTAAAGCTGAGTTATAAATTAATGATGTGTCACTTTCTTATTGGTTAACAAAATTATAATAATTAGAATTAAGAAGACATTTAATTAATTTACACTTAGGCGGAGCAGATTTTTCGGATCTGGGATTCTGGCCTTTCTGGGTCTTAAGATGTCAACATTTTTATATATTACATGATTTTTTATATTTGAATCAACACAATGCATATATACATGAATTTTGCTAATGATCGAATAAAGCCAAGGATAAATATTGTCTGTCAATTTAAATCGATACAATATACTATCGTACAATTATTAGTTAGCCACTTAACCTCAATTATTACACTTTTAACGCAATGATAATATCAAAAAAGGTACTTCTTCCACCCCGCAAAATTTTTATCTTCGAGATAGTCACACAAAACTTTCCAAAAAGAAAAGCATACTTTTTTTGATACGTTCCAAAAAGGTAAATGAGAAGAATTTTAAGGACGGAAGGAGTAACCCTAAGAACATTAATAAGTAAGTCACACAATTATCTATTTTTTATGTAGTAGAATTGAGTTATAAATCAATGATTTGTCACTCTCTCATTAGTTAGCACAAATTCTATTAGCACTGCTATTAAGACATTTAATTAATTTATACTATACGCTTAATATGAGAAATAATTTTGAGAAACAGCACACTCCGAAAAACTAAAGTTATATTAAGAGGCCGTTTGACAACATTGTTTTTCGGCTTATCAGCCTTATCAGCCAACTTTTTCACCAAACACTAATTTTAGTTTTTGCGCCTGAATTGTGTAATAAACAGAAAAAGTAAGGTTGAAGTTACATTTCTGGCTGTATTGGCTAAAGTTACTGTACATGACCATTTTAGCTATTTTTACATATAATTTTTTCAATATTTTATTAATAAAATATATTTTAAAGATATTTTTTCTTAAATCAGCAGAATCAGTCAATGCTGTCACTTCAGCCAGAACTTCATAAATTTCAGTAGAATCAGCCAAATCAACCGATTTTCGTGCTACCAAACGGACTCTAAGATTTAGAAGACCACATAATTACGCAAGAGTCTCCTTATAAATCTCAGGAATTGTACAACACAAAATTATTTAAATAATGGGACTAATAAAAGTGAATGAGATTAATCGTAAAGTACAACATCAATGTTACACATAATGGGACTCTAATACATGGGAATTCTTGGTCAATAATTGTACAACACATACATACTTAGTATTACATTGAATGGGATTCATGGGATGTTTGTAATTGATTATGTTTCGACTTCCTTTTTAAAAGTAGAATCAGAATTAGAAGTTGGTCTTCGCCAACTTCTAAAAAACTGCTTCCGGGAGCAATTTGGAACACTGAGAAGTACTTATGCACTTTCACCCAAATGGTACAATATCTGCTTATACTCCCTCAAGGAGCAGATAAATAATGAACTTATTGTTCTACAATTTTAACATTCACAAAGTAATATAAGTCTACAAAAATTAATAGGTGAAATAATAGATGAAACGGTAAAATGAAAAATTAAAATGTTAGTTAAATTTAATTGAGGAGTGAGGACATCATTCATATTTTTTGGCAACCATAAAGCAAAACATATCTTACTAGATACAAGGGAGCTAGGAAAATTAATTTTGTGGTGAAAAATTAAAATGTTGACTAAATTGTCACAATAAGAAACACTTGTGATATTACAAAGAATGATTAAAATAAGTGTCAACTTTCCATAAACACATACCCCTTCCCTCTTATTGTAAGATATGATTGGATTTCATACATGTTTAAAAGCAAGTATGGAGTATACTGCACCCGTTTTACAAGTTTAACATGTAAGAAGGTAAAAAAGTTCAATATAGATCCACAAAAAGTATAAGGCGAAATGACAGATAAAGAATAAAGTGAGAAATAAGAAGTCATTGGTAATTTAAAAGAACATTCATATTCTATTGGCAACCAAAATGTAAAGTGTCTCTTACGGAAGTAATAAAATCTGAAAAATAATACTCCCTATTGACTAATGTTTAAATATATACGGAGTACTAATGTAGTATATGATGACCGACAATAATCATTTAACAAATATGAATTTATAAATATATGTGATTAGTTCATAATATAGATTTATTATATTCAAAAGGAGTGTTTGCGGTTGCTTAAAAATAGCGTTTTTCAGCTTTTGGCTTAAAAAAGCTGAAAAGAGTGTTTTTAAATGACAACTTCTGCTTAAATTAATCACTTAAAAGCTAAAAGCTGGAAGCAGGTAAAATGGTGCTTTAAACTGCTTTCCACTTTTTCTATTACATAAAAAATACTTATTTCACCAAACACTACCAACTTTTACTTTTTCAGAATCACTTTTTTTCAAACACTACTATTTTTATTATTAATCACTTTTCCCAAAATTAATTTAAAAAATCACTTTTTAAAGTTGAAACAATTGCAAACAATCCCTAAAACTACCGGGGCATGCCCCGGGATCTACACTAGTATTGATATTATTGTATAACATATCAATAATATGGTATATCGGTCAAGCCCGGGTCGAATAAATACATTATTGAGTAACACTCATTATATCTATTCGTACTTTTTAAAATGTTTACCCAAGTATTTGTTAGATTACCGGTAAACTCTTATTAATTGTAGATTCCATACACTAGTCATGTCTTGACTTGACACGAGATCAACATAGATCTCTAATCTCTAACCTCTTATAAACATGAATGATGGTAAGGATTCTTTGAGCATGTAAAATGTGTTGATGTAACTAAAAGCAATATCAAGTAGTACATTAAGCTATTTAAGTTGGACTCTATAATCTTTCCGTCCACCTTCCGTTAGTGTACATTTTATTTCCACTTCATCTGCTTCCAAGTTTGTCTGCGTTGCCGTCTACTGCCCCCGTCCATTTTTTTTCCCCAATTACTTTATTCTCAATTAATGATCTCAAGTGCTACATGCATAATGGCTATCTTCTTCTATTCATCTCATTTTCAGAAACGGCCAGGAGATGTACCGTCTTCTCTTCCTCTTGTTTTTCATAGAGCATATAATAGTTTCCTTCTTCTCAATTTAGTCATTACATTTCGATCAGTTTTCATTTCTCCATCTTCATTCATCTGTTGTGCCTTAGCTTGCAATAGTACAAAGCAGGGTACGTGTTGGTGCGGCTGTTACAGTGTTATGTCAAGCAAACTAGTACGTCTTCATTATGAAAGGTAGTCATAATTTATTAAAGGATTTCCCGACTTCTTTGATTGCATATTTTGGTCACTTACTTCTTATAGTCAAATTATTTACCTTGTTTTAGCTATATGTTTAACTATATGTAGAAGAAAGCATGATAGAACTGCATTAGATCATTTTTGCCCATATATTGATTGGATGTCAATGAGAGAGATTGAGAGAATCATGTATCACCTTCCAGAGTTTCTTAGATCATAAAAAGTTTGTATTTTTTTACTCATGTTGACTAACATAATTACAACACACATAAGCAGTGTCTGCCTTGAGTAATATCTCAAAGCATATATACAATTAGTCGAAAGTACTTATCTTAATATGTTTTCTAATTCAGTGACAATAATAATTACTTTTATCTTTACAAAAGTTTTCTAGGAGTTATGTGAATCTCCTTGTTCAAGCCTCCAATTCCAAAGAAGCCACGAAAATGCGGTGTGAAGTATACCATCATTTGGAGGTAATTTAACTCTCATATGTTACTCCAGATGAAGTTCTCTAGTTTCAAATGACATGGTGATCAAGACTTTATCATTTTTTATTTTCTGTTAGCAAAAAAAGAAAATGACATTGATATGTTACTGCAGTTTGAATGTATTCATTTTTCAAATAATACTCACTTCAATTCCATTCTCCTTCTCCCCATCTTTTATAACTATTTTGTTAGACTAATGTATATCCATTACAAATAAAAACTTTGTGCAAGTAGTGCAGAAAATATTACATTGGATATTTATCTTATCGCGCAACGCGCGTATAGAAACTAGTGACTACATACATGAGTTGCTTGCATATATACTAATGGGAACTGAAATGCATAACAATCAGGTTCCCTGTGTACGAACTACGAAGGTAAATATTCGTAAATACCGTTTGATTTAGTGTCCAAAATTGCCATTAAGTGTAATACGTTCTCTTCCAATGATAAGTGTAAATTTGGAAATATTACACGATACGTGTAATATTGCCATTTTCAAGTCTTCAGTGTTTTTATTCTATGCAACTCAAAATACTCTAGTCCCATTGTTGACTCATCAACCAATTAAATGTACAATTGAAAACACATGTTTTCTTTTGGACTATTTTCAGTCCCAGACCAGACCAGACCAAACTTAAACAGACTAGACCAGACCAGACTTAAACAGACCAGACCAGACCAGACTTCTGTAGTTATAAAATACACAGAGACCAGACGTTTACCAGATCAGACCAGACCAGTTCAGACCAGACCAGACCAGACTTAAACAAACTAGACCAGACCAGACCAGCAAATTTCAGTCCAAAAGAAAACATCCTAAATCAACTTCGTATATAAGTATACATTTATATAGTTACACTATCACATAAAATCTCGGATGACTTAAGAATCCATTATTTTAAGTCTGAGATATTTAATCGGGAATTAGGTTTTCATGTTGCCACGCTTAATGCGTGATAGTGAACTAAGAACACTATGTCGTGAGGATCCTGGGCTATATTACATGATAACAATATGAATGGGAATACAATTCCCGTTAATGGCAATATTCCCGACTAATGAAGTGTACACAGGGCTTAGAAGCTGTTCTGTTCGTCTTAATCTTATTAGTTATTGCTTATTCTTATTTTATTCAGATCAGATCAGATCAGAAAAATTCAGATGAGATCAGATCAGATCAGAAAGATTCAGATCAGATCAGAATCATTCAGATCAGATCAGAAAGATTCAGATCAGATCAGAAACATTCAGATCAGATCAGGACCATTCAGATCAGATCAGGACCATTCAGATCAGATCAGGAACATTCAGATCAGATCAGAAAAGTTCAAACATGATTTATCCCTTTTATTATAATAATAATTATAATAATATTGATATGATTACTTTGATTACTATGATTATTATAAGAAATAGTTACATAAATATGACTAAGATAAAGATGGTTTACAAAAATATGATTCATTACTAGAATAGTAATGAAATCATAATAATTCATGTTCATGTTTTGAACTTTAGTTACCACAGCACTACGTTGTAGTAATGAATAGTGATATTTATGTAAATAAGTTTTATTTTAGTAATATTCTTGTAAAAACCCCTTATTATAATTATGATATTTATTATTATCATGATTATTATTATTCTTACTACTATTATGGTTGTTGTTGTTATTGTTATTAGTTTTGTTTTCGTTATTATCATATTATACGGAGTAATTACAATTAGAATTATAGAAATAAATATTATAATTATAATTAAAATTATAATTATATAAATAAATATAACTATAAATATAATTACAACTATAATTATAGCTATATTTGTAACTAGTGTAATACGTATGATAATAATGATACCTATTATAATTATGTTTGTAATTATAATTATAATTTTTATAATTATGATTATAATTATAATTATAATTATATTTTTTTAACGATATAATTATAATTATATATAAATTATATATGTGTAATTACATTTATAATTATAGTAATTATAATTATAATTATAATTTTAGAAATATTCAACTCAGATCAGATCAGAAAGATTCAGATCAGGTCAGAAGGATTCAGATCAGATCAGGAACATTCAGATCAGATCAGAAAGATTCAGATCAGATCAGAAGGATTCAGATCAGATCAGAACTTAAAAAATTCAGATCAGAAACATTCAGATCAGGTGAAGAGAACAGCTTCTTAGTCCAAATTAACTCTTTGTGAACTATATTGAACTTAATCTTATTTTGGACTGATTATTAATATAGGTATGGCTTAGTGTATGATCGAATATAGGGTTACACATCTGTATACACTTAATAGTTACAACAATTGAAGTAAAAGAAACATTCTATTGCCATACCTATATTAATAATCAGTCCAAAATAAGATTAAGTTCAATATAGTACACAAAGAGTTATAAATAAGTTATTAGAATTGACCGTATTAATACATATTGACTTGTTTAATGTGAAACCAATCATAAATTCATACAATATTATATGGTATACATATGAGATCATACACTGATATGTATGAGTCGTTAATACATTGTTAACTATTCACCGACTAATGAGTTATATAACATCAATATCCAAACCTCCCATTTGTTAAGAATATTAATTAAACATGTTAATATATTGAGTTATGTTGTCTTATATTTTGGCTTATCCAAACCAGTGAGTTTACTATTTATACGGAGATTGAGTCTGATATTTTGATAGTCTTAAATCAATGAAATGACTAATATGTTTCACAATCCACATATAAAAATTTAACATGTTTCTATACAATTCATGTGATGTTTCGATGTAACCTGGAATACATATTAAATGTATATACCCTTTATGGTTAACCAATTATGTGATACTACCACATATAACCTAAGTGGTATATATGTACATAAATGGGTGCAATCATTGTAACAGTGTTTTATCATTGTCTTATTGTATTAAATATGACTTATTGTCATAAGAGTGTATACATGGATGTGTATACGCTCTTATGTAACCATATTAGGATACTTAATATGTTCGAGTATTATATACATACTTTGACATTATTTATCTGGTTATGAACCCACAGTCATGAGATATGACAATTATCTATAATAATTAGAACGGATGTGTATATATGTAATAGGATACATATTCAATAACTAAGTATTGATGTATAGTCTACAACATGTGTATACATCAATACTTCAAGACCTGTATAGTCTACAACATATGTATATACAAGGATGTATATACCTAATAAGTTAGGGTCATAAATTTAATAACTATGTTTTGTGGTGACATGATCCTATACTAATCAAATTAACTGAATGTATTATACCTACACTCTTGTTGATTTACGAATGTACAGAGATATATTCCACTGTGGGAATATATGTACGATTCCCATATGGACTTCGAGTATATAATGGGGATACCTTAAATTACAAGTCCCATACTTGTAGGAGTATGGGAGTGTATGTATCATAAGTGAATACCATGTCTTAGATTATTCTTTAAATGTACCTAACCCATTGTACATCTATTCTCACCATATATAGTCGTACAAGAAGGACATAGTTGAGACTTGAACCCATACCTAGTAATTATAGTATGGGTTAGTCGTAATATTACCCAAGACCTGAGATAAGACAATTTACATATGTACTAAAAATGTAAGTTCATAATGACTCAAGTCCAAATTATGAATAGAAAACAATTATGTTATTAAGTCTGCTAATAGGATTACTTAAATTTGGACTTGAAACGATTAAGCCAAAATCTTGAGTTTCAAATACAGAAGACTGAATCAAATTTTTTGAATGTGATCAACCGAGTCAACAATTCCTATGAGACTAGAAGTTTCTCGATGATACCTTGCAAAATTATTTAGGGATTAAATGAATTTAGCGTACACTATGATACATCTTGATTTACGGAGTATATTAATTGCATAACTGATGACAGTGTATTTCAAGTATAAACGAAGTACTTCGTATATACAATTGCAACATCGGAATATTAAACTAAATGTGGGAACAATTCAAGTCATATACATTGTTGATGACTAAATATATACCAATGATATTAGATATTAAGGATGTTTTCTTTTGGACTGTTTTCAGTTCCAGACCAGACCAGATTTCCGTAGTTATAAAATACACAGACCAGACCAGACCAGACCAGATATGACCAGCAAATTCCAGTCCAAAAAAAAAACATCCTAATACGTATGGATTTTGTATAGTTATCATGCAAAAATACTCTTTGAAAGGTCATGAACTACCCCAATGATCAACACTTGAACTGGAAAATAACACCTATACTCGAAATAGTTTATTTGAATGTCCACTGTGGAAGTTGTATTTACCATACGTAATTGATGAGGCTTACACACTTGACATAGGGGACCCATTAATCATAAATACTAATTATCATGGTTTATTTGATTACGTATAATCTCAGACTTGTAGGATTAGCACATTTATTCTGATTGGTAACACACAATTATTACAGATTACGAAATGTACCCGATTTTATAATTTATATAAATACATCGTTTACAAGTCTGTTTGACTATTAGTGTTATACTTGTCACAAATGTGACTCAAATATGAATGTATAGGACCGGTTATGACTTGTCGAATACACAATCCCATCCTATGAGTGTCATAGGCAGGGCCGTCTAATGAATTTGGAGGCCCCGGTTCAAAATGTAAAAGCGGGGCCCTAAATTAATATAAAACAATTATTAAAAAATATCAATCGAAATATTTATACTCAAATCAATGGAATACTCATTAAAAGAGAACTAAAAGAGTAAAATGACCAACGAAAAAATGATGTATCTATATTAATACTAATATAATTACTAATAATTTTTTATGATATGGGGCCCCTTAAATCTGGGGGCCCTGTTCTGGATAACCTATTAAACCCCCTAAAAAACGGCCCTGGTCATAGGATATGGTAGTTACAATAGAATTGTCAATTATAGTCACTGTAATAATTAAGTAAATCATACCTAGGACACAGTCCAAATCTCATTTAGATCACTTAATAGTATGATGCAACTGTGAATTAATATACACATGTGACTATTAACAGATAGTATCGGATGTGTTGTACATCCGATACATATTTGAACCCAAATATGGACTA